TTTTGATTATTTCATTGAAGCTTGCTTCAATATAAAACAAATTAATGAGAGGGGTGGAGGAAAACAGCCCGTCTGAAAAGGAGGCTGAAAATTTTCAAGATTTCGTGCGCGGCAAAGATTATAGAGACTGCCTGAGTGAATGTCTCTCTCAATCTATTCAGTGGGCTCGCCGAGGCACGGGTAAATATAGCCCCCTCTCCCCGCCCCCTCTCCCTATTTTTTCAGACGTTGTCAACAACCATTTATCTCCTCAGAAGATGGGTCACTGCTCTTAACAATGATTATCTTACCAATGGAATCTCTATTGTTCTCGATAATAAACATAAATATATTGCACTTGTTCTTGCAGTAATTGAATTGAATTGAATTTGTATTCATGAATACTAATACACTTCCGCAATGCTAGGACTGATTTGCGATAGAATTCACAATTTAGATAAGTGATGTGAACACACTAATGCATTATGTATGGTGGCCCTGAAGGTATATGTACTTTGATCATAGAGCTATATACTACTAACAGTCTTATCAATATATATCTCTATGACTTTGATTCATTAAAGTAATACAGTAAATTATTTTAAGGGAGCATGGAAACAAATATACAGAGGAGGGAGGACAGGAGAAAAAAGCTGGTTAAAAATAAAACATTTTCTTTTGCGTTTTGTATAATTATTTCCCCCAAATATTCAATGAAGCTCATACACAACAATGTGTATCTATTCTAGGGGCAGATGTCACTCCCCCCACCCCCCAGTGGTACAGAACGTATGTTTTTTTTTGTTGTAATAAGTGCGTTTGCACCCCCCCCCCCCCCCCCCCGAACCTCCGCCCACCTCCAATCCCGGAGATGGATCAACGCCCGTACTCAATAATCGTGTATTTGTTCAGCAAATTGAGAACAAAAAGCTCAAATCTGTACTATGAGCACAAAATAGAAAGGTCGTATATTCGGTATCGGGTCATTGACTTATGTGAACGTTCATAGATTAATGTGAATTGCAACGATTTATTAGATATAAACCATTAAAAAATATGTATATTAAATTGGCTTATCTTCATTATCAGACCAAGAGAATTTGATAATAATGATCTTCACTGAAACGAATCAGATTATAATCAAAACAACTTGCTTCATATTTGCCTAGGACACTGCTTTGATGACGTAGATCTTTTTCTTAATTTAATAAACGTTCTTGAATTGAAATTAATTGAAGATAATAACAATACACTTACACTGTATTACCCCAATTTCGAATGCGACAAATGACATTTCAAGGCGGGCCATTCCGTTCAGTTTTATCTTATCAATAATTGATGACGATTGATATATCCAATCAAATGCATGTATTGTTTGTCTATTAGAGCGCACTATGGAGATTTATTGAAGAACTTAAGACAACTGCATTCGTTAGGTTGGAAATTTGATCGAGCAGACGATCAGGATTGATATGCGTACGTTGAAGGAATATTCCTATCTCGGAGTTCTAAAATTGCGTTGCCAGGCAACAGTACAAGGGCGATGGATATAGGTCGTCAAGCTGCTCGGCTCAATCAGTTTGATCTCTATGAAGATGGATTTGGGAAAGGTCGGGCTTTCTGAAACATTGTTCAACAAAATTGTTTTTACCAGTTTATATTGCATAATTATCATAACTGAATTTTTATTATTTGATTTTAAAGGTATATGTCCCATTTGCAGGCCAAAAAAAATGAAAAAGTTAAATTCCAACTGCTTTTGAAAGATAATACTTATTTAGAACTTCCCTAAAAAAAGGTAGGGCTTGAAAATGTCTTCAAGTGGAAAAATAATGACTATTAGTAGTCAAATCGACTTTAGGGCTATAGAGCCCAAAAGTTATAGTCTTGATTTTCAGACAATTGTACATAATGGTCATACGTTTTATGCTGCGCAAAGATTCAATCAGTTTAATCTTGGCCACCACAAGAAGTGGGTTATTGATAGACAAATGCTCATGAACCCTTTACAACTCTTTTCGTGTATTTTATTACCAAAGAAGAAAAAAGGCCAGTCAGTCACTCAATAGTGTCTGACAGTGAAGTCTAGCAAGTAAACGGGTTTCCTTGCATAATTTGAATATGAGGACACTGCTAACGTTGAAATTTCACAGATAGGACATACATGACATATTCATAATTCCTGCAAAGTTCTACAGAATTTGAGGTTGGCTGCAAAAGGGACATTGTATCTTTAAGATGTGTGAAACATTGATAAAGGCCTAAACTGCATGCATACACAGGAGTGCGTATATTAATTCTCGTAATAATGTTTGATGATAATGCCAGCCTATAGGCGTATCATATAATTATGTTTGTTGACAATGAGGCCCATAACAATCGAAATTAATTACAATGACCAAAAATAAATAAAGCTTGTATCATTTTGGAACTATAACTGATAATATCTCCTCAGTCAGAAGAAGGTTGATCATACCAAGGATATTTGGCAGCTGTTTTCACAAGCTGCATTTATAGAAATGGTTGAAAACTTATCCAATAGCTAGCAGAAAGCGATTATGTAGGCAAGCCATGTGTTTTATATTGGAATGTCTTTTTTTGTTTGTTTCGTATAGTCGAAAGAAACAGCGAATTATGTGCAGCGCGCATAACGATATTATATCGGTGGTACACAAAATTGCAAATACCCTGCTTCAATATTATTGGTTTTGCGGTGTCATTTAAATTTGTTTCTCGATTATTTTCGATGTTCTCGTTTCTTATCGGTTTTTAGAAATAAAAACTAGCGGTACAAAATGAGCATGCAGGGCTTGTCTTGTTTATTATACATTCATCAAATATGAGTTACAAGATAGAGAAAGGAAGGGGGAAAACAATGAAAGAGAGTGATAGGAAGAAAAGAGGGTGAGGGAGAGAGAGAGAGAGAGAGAGGGAGAGAGAGGCGGAAAGAGAGAGATAGAGAGACAGAGAGAGGGGGAAAGATGTGAATGAGAAAATGAAGGGGAAAAAATGAAAATTCAACCACAAAAACAGCTATAAAAGCAATGCGCTTTTTCTACTGGTTCAATATGTACGTACAAAATATATTCTTCCTTTACCCGCGGTGCGGTATCGTATAACAATGCAAAATTTCATAACTCATGAGTAATGTAGGGGTTGTCACACAAACATGTCATTAGCGATGGAATCTGAATAAATCATAATCCGAAAAATGGCGGTTTTTGGTGTCCCGTTTCATGACATCACAGCAAACGGCACGTAAAAGTATACGTGATTGTATGTTATGATGAGGTTTTCAGGTATTTAGGACGATATATCAAAGCATTCATTGTATAAACATAAACAGTACTGTTCTTGGCACTTTATCGATTAAACGAAGGGGGGGGGGGGGTAATAAGAGGAAGAAGAAGAAATTTGCTCACAACTGTACATGATCAGTGGTGCACTATAGCAGAAGGATCATCAGCGCCATACCCCCTCTCCACCCCCCCCCCCCCCCCGTTTGAAGGCCTTGAAAATAGCCATTACAATTTGCAATGGTCTAAGGGACGCGGGGCTGCTCAAATACATTGCGCCCCTCCCGTCTGAGCAAGATTTCGCCCCTCTTTTAAATCAATTTCTGGATATGCCACAAAATGCCAATAACCGCCATTACAATGCCATGTTGTGGCATATCTGTATGAGGCAAAGCACTTTTAGCTTCACCGCAACCATAATGTCAGATATAGACAGAGGCAGCTATAGGACATATTCATGTTCGGATTATTTTGCACAATATAATCGGACAACAATTTACATTTCATACTTCGTATTTCGGAAAACGAAAAGGAAAAATGTCCACACAGTGTGTTGATTTGTGGTAATAATTTTGGCGCATAATATTGGCCGGAAAATTGAGTAATTTAAGTCACCGTCTGTCGCCATTCTTGATCAAACAATGAGACAGAAGGCAAACACTATACATCAATAATTTGAAGTGATTGAGTGACAGTATTAATTGTTCATGAGTAATTTATAATGCGATGATCTTTAATAGGCCACGTAATTGTCAGCGTTAAGAGTAGTGTGTTCCACGCTTGACTTTTGGTTGATTAAATAATTTGTATTGCATTAACGCAGGCCCTATTTCAGTTATAAAAAAACTATTTGATTTAACGTCATAGAATTCATGCTGATTATATACTTTTGTTGCTGGAGATTATGAGTACATAATGTGGGTATAAATACAGGGGCTTACATATTTCAAATAATAATATGAAATAAAAATAGAGGCACACAAAATGAAGGAATCAAATTTTGCATGCGCAATAATACGCTCCAAAGTATGTATATGATTAGCGGGGGGAGCAGTGACCCCTTGTGACCCTCCCCTTCTGGATCCGCCTCTATTTAATCTACATAAGTACATGACTTAATAACTACATGATATTGTAGTCAAACAAAGAACACTTATGTTGATATTGTACATTCTATATTCAGTATCAAGTAACGCAGTCATTTTTGGAAATCGATCTGTGAACATAACGACGCTGTTGTGTTTATGAGCAGAAGCAGTTACAGAATCTTTTTAGAGATGGGTGGGGTGGGGGAGGGGGTGGGTTACATGGGCTTTGGGGCCTATAGATTCTTCCATTAATACTCATACAGTCATGTTTCTTGCATTTGAGTGGATAGCTATAACCGCTATTATATATGTGATTATATAAGTAGGCCTTAACAGGAGCGGATCCAGGATTTCTTAGGGAAGGGGGCCCACTTTTTTTTTTTTTTTGCTCCTCGAAAATTCGCTCAGTTGGGGAGGGGGGGAGGTAGTGAGCACATTCTTTGTGGCCCTCGAAAATTTAAAAATTTGCACCCCCCCCCCCCCTTGAGCGCCAGGCGGGGGGAGAGGGCCCAACCCCGTGTATCCGCCACTAGGCCAATACGAATGACAATGAATGATTTAAAAACAGTAAACATTCTTTACATGAGAAAATAATTATCTTAACCGTATTCCTTTTCTTTCTCTCTGTCCCTTATAGGCGAGCAAAATAACATCAAGCATTGACGAGCATTGTTCAACAAAAACCGACAACGTAAGTCTTATGTTATTAGAACGATGGGGAAATGTAATAATAACGATACAATTAAATTGTCGGTTTGAATAAATAGAAACAATAAAATAGAGAGTACTAGAATTTGACAATTATGCCGGTACCTTCAAGAAAGCATCTAAGACGATAGGAAAGACTTTCGAAAAATCAACCTAAGGCAATTGCTTTTCAAATTCCTCATGCGTCCTCTAGTCAAATTACTGTGAGAGTACTATTATGACATATTACATAACCTTAACATTATATTATAATGACACTCTATATAAATATATGATCCATTGTTTAGATGAATATACGACCATTCGGTGGCCTGTACTGCAATGATGGTGAAGAAGAAGAAGAAGAAGCAGAAGAAAAGGAAGCAAAAGAAGAAGAAGAAAAGCAAGAAGAAGAACAACAAATGTAATAATAGTTTCATATTTCTTTCGTTTCAGCCTATCCACGTCTGCATGCACCGAGCCATCGTATATCATGACGTCATCCCAACTAGTGGAGCACATCGCCCTCTTTGGGCCAAGTATGGAGAGTATAGGTATCTTCCCAAACAAAGATGGTTACATAATCTTGAGGTGAGCATTACATTTTAGATTAATTAATTAAAATAAAATCAAACAATACTTAACAGAAAAGCTCATTACAGTAAGATGTTATCGCCTGTGGCTCTTTTTGTTTTAAATAAAGAAATCACTTTTATTTATGTTTTCATCACATTATAACTGATTTAATTTTAGGTTTTTGCCAGTCACTTTCATCAGAACAGCAGCAAAATCGATGCATAATTTCTATAGTGATAGTAGTGCTGCTAATAATAGTGCTCACTACCCCCCCCCCCGAAATATTGGCCTGCACGATTTTCAAATTTCAGCACACTAAATTTCAAATTGATTTCAAATGTGCCCCCCCCCCCCCCACCTCCCTTAGAAATCCTGGATCCGCGCCTGCTGTTGTATGTCTATAAATACCTTTGTGCTGAGTTGCATAAAGTGACGAGATTTAGAATTGCTCGAGGTTGTCTAAGAAAACACATCGGTACTCAGTTTTAATGACAACAATTCGTTTCCTTAAAAGCTTTCATATTTCATATAATATTGTCTAATATAAGAATTTGACAATTTTTGTTAAATACAATAATAATTGTTTAATATGTATATTTGCTTATTTATGATTCTGTCAGATAGCACTTTTTAGTATGATACCGAAAATTGTTTATATTTCGATCGAATGCAGAAGTTAAAAATAGATCATGTAGAATAACCTTTCTACATGGATTTCTCGCAGCATGGAGCGGCTGTCTTTCTTTACCATCCATGTGCCGATATGAGTGAAGTGACGAGATTTAGAAGAATCGCACGAGGTTGCCTTCGAAAACACATCATTACTCCTTATAAAGAACTCACTAAGGAACGGGTAAGTACAGATGAAAACTATTTATCGTTCTATTAATTATTTTTAAAATTTGATATAACAAAATCGCCAAGAAATTCATTTTTAAATGAAGTTTACATCAAGAGAGAGAAAAGGGGAACTTATGCAAGGACGACATTAATTTTCTATCAGCTTAAAAATATAAGTGGGCTTATTAGACTTCAAGCTTTGATGTTCTATCTTTGTTTAACTCTCAACTTTAGTGTGTATCACCACACTAAAGAAAATATACAAGTTGGGATCAGTGGCACAAGTTTTAAGCTCCTTGATATATATTATAATCAAGTTCCTGAGACAAGGCGTTCATCTTCCTCTCTAAAAGAGACTAATTAGGAAACAGGCTTCTACATTACATGGAATAATCTAAGTTTGCCATAAATATAGCCCTTTGAAATTATAAGATAGCTTGACCAAATCAGCACCAGTATTATGCGGACATAAAGTAGGAATCTGGTCTAGCCGAGATATATAACTAAAAATCACATGCAAGTGAATATAACTATTTGCTGGATGTATATCTGTATATTAATTATTATGTATCATTGATTGTTATTTCATCACAAACAAAACAAACTTGTACTTTATTTCGAAATGTTTATGTAACATGAGAAATATGAAAATAAATAAATTAAATGAAATGAAATGAAATGAAATATATATTTTTCTTTATTTCAGCCTTTTGCAGTCCTGACATACGGATGCAAACTGGAACTACCTTACATTGTTTCCAATCGCATACGAGATTTCTTGAGAGAGCACGCGGGCAAGGCCCCCGAGAGGAGGGTCGCCGAGGATGGGCAGTTCAGCGTGCAACAGATCCACAGAGCCAAGACGATCTCGAATGCTAACGATTGCATGATCTGTCCTGCGGTAATTAAGCTAGATTGATTTAATTTCATACTTGGTAGATCCCGACGAACGAGGGAGTTGCATTCCTCGAAGGAAAAAAAAAAAAAAAAAAGGAAAGAAGAAAAAAATGGAACAGAATCCCCCAAAATTGCCCCTAATCCCGTTCCCCCTTCCCCAATATCAACATTTAACAAAACATTTTAAAAACCCGACAATTTTGAAAAGGTCAATAATAACATGGGCTTTGAATATTTGAACAAATGAGCAAAATACAAATACAACAACACTAAAAACTGAATAAAATGAAATTACTATTTTCCCGATTTGCCAACATAATAATTATATTTAAACGAAACAAGGAGAGATTTGATCTCAATGATCGCATACTAGCTGTCTCGACGGAAATTTCGAATACTGGGGTGTTACCAACCTGCATCTTCTCTACCAGTTCCGCCCTTCAAACTCTTACTATCTCGTCTAAACTTAATCATTAATCCTAAACCAGGGCGTGTTTCACAAAGTCTTTTATGAATGACAAACGACAAAAATCAGTGAAAAATCTGCTGATAACCAATCAGAAGCAGGGATTTCAGTAGCTTATAACAAAAACTGTCATTTGTCACTGATGACAAGTTTTGTGAAACATCCTCCTGAAATTTTATTTGTCTTCCTCTCTCTCTACCCAGGAACCATTCGAGGGTTGCCCTGGACACCACACCCATGCTGGCCGAGCGAGACAGGCGATCAACAAGGCGCACCATCGATCCAAGAATGATAAGCCACGCAAGAGACAAGGCAAAATTCACGACTAGCCTGGATGCGATTCCGTTACCATAGCGACGAGGGAATACAATCTGTGGGGGAGGGCTGAAAAGTCTCGATCAAACAACCATATCTGAATTGATTTTTTTCTTTCTCATTATCTTGCTTGTTATTTTTGTTTGGGGGGAATAATGCATCGATCATCAGTAGACATCAATGAACGAACAAAACCGATACAAGAATTTTGAACCATGCGAGAGAGAGTGAAAAATCAAATACTTGACTAGGATGCTATCCACTGAGTTGCTATGGTGACGGAGAATAGATTCTTGGGAGTTTAATTTCTCGGTTAAACATTACTTTGAGAAGTTTATCTGTTCATTATTTACGATTTGGGACAAGGAAATTATAAGGTATAATAAGATCAGTGCACATCTTCGACCTAGAAATGACGAGTCGCGCAAAAGACGGGGTAAATACACAGCTTTGATTCTAATATGTTGCTACTCAGGGGCAAATTGTTTGGTCTCAATAAAACAACGAGTTCTACTTCTTCAATATTTACGGCGGAGTTTTTTTTTTGGGGGGGGGGGGGAGGGGGCAATGGCAATACCATTATAAATAATTATGTTGCTTTTGAGTATTGTCTTCTTGTAGTTTTGGGGTTACGAATTTCAAATGATTAAAAACATAGGTTCAACCATTTATTGTATATGATTGTAAACGCAGTCCCTGATTAATACATAAATCCAAATCCTAAGTCAATAATGTTATATAGGTACAACAGAGATAACACAAATAAATTAAAAAACACAAAATTAAAATGCACAATCAGCGTCGACTTATTTCATTATGATTTTTTTTGGTAATTTTATAATGAAATTTTATTCAAACAAAAATGTACATTATGACAGGGTATGAGCGTAAACAAGATATTTCGATGAAGAAAAAAAATCTACTCTGAGTTAAATGATTCAAATGCATGTTTGGATTTTTCTAAGGATAAAATCTAACCTAATTATAATAAATTTAAATTTTATTGTTTATTATTTTATTTTGTCTTTCGACCTCGCATCAACCATTCGATTTGTAGGTTCTACTAGCTTCAAGAAAATATTTTTAGAACGTTCATCTAGTATAAAATTATATTCATCTCAGTATTCAGCTATCTACGCGTTATACTAATCTGTACATCGACAGTCTATGGCTATTTGACAGATTCTTATACAGACGCAGCATTAATGTGCAAGCTTTCAGATATATGACCAAATACGTCTCGCTTTGAAAAATCTAGCATTATTGTCGTCATGAAAGTAATCATACTGCCGCTGTATTCGTATCTATACGTGATTTGTTTGTATGGATGTTTGTATAATTGTTTCGTGAATGATATGATATACTTATATATTCCCATTTTTTTAATGAGGTTTATTTAATTTAATGTACTCTCATGACAGTTTTAGCCCTTTAACATAACGTACAGTCCGTGTACAGACAATGTATATTCGTAGCTTCTGATAACAGTCGTCCGTGTCGTAGTCGCTTTTGATTAAAACGATACTATTCCGTTTTATTCAGAAATACCATGTAATGTAATTGTTTATCCACATTCCATGTATAACTCTGTATGGTAAGATTCACAATGTAATGTAGTCAACTAAACATTTACTATTTACATGTACTACGTATTTGGAGTATGTTCTATATCGTTCATTGTTTAGAAATATGCTGTTTTCAAATTTAAATCGTAAGTGTGAGTTAATTTGCCTTAGTATACATATGTTTCCTTTCAAAATATTTCTCTATATACCTGTCTGTTCGCATTTAATAAATACTATTGAATATTTATTATTTAAGGAGTAGTGTGATCTGATTTGTATCCTTTTCTCCCCCCCCCCCCATACCTTCTCTCTCTCTCTCTCTCTATCTCTCTATCTCTTCCCCTCTCTCCCTTTTCATCGTCTCCCCTGTCCCACCCCCTCTCTCTCTCTCCCTTTCTAGTTTTCCATCTGCACTCTCTCTGCCCCTCTCCTCTCTCTTTCTTTCTCTCTCCCATCCCTCTTTCACTCTATCCATCTCTTTCCTCTCTCTCCCCATCTTTCCCTCCTTCTTTCCCTATATCTTTCTTTCACTCCAGCAATTCTATCCAAAAAATGTTGACAGACAATACACCTTTCCTGTTTTTACCAAAGACCTTGTTGCTACAATGTCCAAGTCCATTAATTCAATTAAGCACTGAATCACAATTTAAATAGATACAAAATGTCCAAAAGCAACACGCATAACACACAAATGTAGTGACTTGTAGTAAAAAGAATTTAATTCTTAAATCATGCAACAAATAACATTTGTTTTTGTTATTTTTAATTTCAGATCAGTTTTTATACCCTTTACGTTTTGAGTGTTAAATCTGTTCTTAAATGAGATGAAATTCATTTCTTAGTGATTTCCACTAACTTTATTACTTCAGATTTTAAAAAAGAAGAAAAAGGAATACAGTGGATACATTGGGACCATGAAAATTAATCTATCTTAGGCATCTTGGCATTTCAGGGTGGAAATAAATAAATAAATAAAATGAATATCAACCGCTGATATCGGAGCTCTTAATAACGAGTTTAAACTGAACATATGAAGAAAGGTGATACAAAACAGAAAATATAAACAAGCGTGTTAGACACGTTTGTTTATACACGATTCACAAATATTATGACAAGGTGAGAAAAACATAAGTAAAGCTATGGTCACAAATCAGAGCAGCGACCGACCGATCAGTAGCCTGCTTGGTCGCTGCTGGAATTAGGCATCGCCTAGCGATTAGGTCGGTGCCCGGTCGGCGACCGCCCAGGCACCGAGCGTATTTTGGGCGGCGAGTGAAAAGTGAGCAGGCGCCGCCCAAATTTTAACTCCGCTCTAAAACTTCAGCGGCGACCGAGCGATGCCCTAAAAACGAGCGTTGCCAGGGCGGCCGCCGCCGGGCAGAATTGGTTAAAAACTCACCGCTCGGCCGCCGAGCAGGCTACTTTTGGGTAATGTGACCGAAGCATAAGGGGGAAGGGGCATGTAAGATTGTATTACAAATTGATCATACTATTTCTATAACAAATTCTTACCTTTTCATGAAAATGTATAAAAAATACATGGTTACAAGATTTGACATCAAAAGTTTGCTTGAAGATTGATTTGGCAATTAAGGCGATACTTTGATGGCTCGATGAATAAAACAAATTTGGAGGCACGTGATCAGACTTAATGACATGATCTGAATACAATACTTAGCAGTCAGTTATATGGTATGGAATAGCAGCCACAAAAATAATCAACCTAAAGAAATATCCAGAATATTTCACCCTTTCTTTTTCTTTTTTTTCTGGAGATAGAAGGTATCTATCTCCCTACATAGTGCGTAAACCCTTGTTTTTCCAACTTCCTGTTGATATTCACTTCTGGATACATGATGCATTATAACTCTTATAAATGTGTCCTGGTGCAATTTTGTACATGTCACATTGCATTCCAAGCCAGTACTGTCTAGTAGCTTAACCTTGTTACATCTTTGTATAAATCATGCAACCAATGACCTCAGAGGCACCTTAAGAATATCTGAAAGTGTTTGTTTTTGTTTTTATTAAAAGAAATGATGGTTCGAAGAAAAAAATCAATGTGCATTCAATTCAACATGCTAATATAGCACAACCAGCACGAATGAATATTTCCCGACATGATCTTTATCTGCTTTAATCTCTGTAGCACTGTTCTAATCTCCGACTGCAAAGCCACAAGGCAGGACACCTCCGCGGGTCTCTCTCGCAATGTATACAAGATTGCAGCCTACTGCAGATATTTGCACACTTTAGAACAAATCGTAGGCAAAAGTTCCCGCCTCGCTCAGTAGAACTTTGAACAGAACAAACCAGCATTTCCTTCTACTCTGCTCTCTTATGGCATGTTACTCAAGGTGTTCTGTCCTCCTGGATGGCTATCATCCACCTCCCCTACTGACCTTTAACAGTTCCTACATTTGATTTAGGATGTTGAGTTAGGGTGTATGAACCAATCTATCAATCTATTAGACTGGAATGCCATGGCATCTTTGCCTTTGGAACACCTTCCCAAAGCTCTCTTTCCTGGCTTTTGTGTTACACATGTATTTCTAAGTCCCATCCTTTGGAAGGACATCCTTACATCCAACCTTGGTCTAAGGACAGTCTTATCCATTACACCTTTTGTCTTTTATACACAGCAAAGGCTACATTTCCCCTAGCATTCCATATTGCATCTCTAGTAGTGGCCATCTTGAGGCTCATCTTCACACCATTCTCTCATCTCACAATCTTATCAGTTCGTTGCACTTTCAAAACTTGTTACAAATGCCATCTCTTTCTCAGCTTTCATGCTGCTCCTCTACGATATAAAACCCATCTTCTTATCACAAAATCTCTCTATTTCACTGCATGTTCATCCTACAACAGACAACTAAAGCAATATCTAATCCCCGACTTCATGTCACACTTTCCGCAGCGGTTATCTCAAGGTGTCAGTTTCTTATGTTCACTTCCTTGTCTTACAAGTTCATTGCAAGTTCTTCCTTTAAGCAATAACTTAAGCTCTCCACGGAACCTCCTCAAGGATTCTCGTCACTTCTCATTAAACCTCTGTCCTTGAACGGATACATGTAGAGCCATCTGCTGGCGTTCATGTTGCATCTCTCGCAGTAATCGTTGAGGAATAACCTCCTATCTTATGCTCCTCTTCTTGTCTACCAAATTCAACGCACCTTCATCCTTCATCAAACAAGACATCCTCTTCCTGGCATTCGGATTGTTACTCTTAATGCATATCAACTGGTCTATCTCACTAACTTTCCGGTCCATAACACGTTTGTCCTTGACGTCCTGAAGCTATCTGCTCATGAAGCATCTCTCACAGCGATCATCTAGAGGCAAGACTTTGTTACAACGAGCTCAAATCCACTTCTCACAAATCCATAGCACCTCAGTCCTTCTTTTGCAAATAAAACATCCTCTTCTCAGTATTCCTGTCTCAGTCCTGGCATACAAAGCACCAATCTGCCTGCCCCCAAAACTTCCAGTCCATTAAACTTTTAGCCGGTACATCTGAAGAATATCTGTTCATGTTGCATCTCTTGCAGCGATCATCTTGAGGCAGGACTTCCTCACGCTCATCTCCCAGGCATCGAGGATCTGAGTGAGCGTGTAGCGGTCAGGCATGCGCATGACTTGGTTTTGAAGAGCCGCTTGGACTAGCTTCAGGAAAGGGGTTTGACCTTTGGAAATAAAGAGAAGCAAGAAAGAAAGAAAGAGAGAATGATGACCAAACACGTTCAAATTTAGAAATTAAATATTGGACATTAACGGAAGGTTATTAGAAAGTGATTGTCAGGATGTAGGTTTTATCAGAGAAATCACTTTTAGAGACTGAGAGAGAGAGAGAGACAGACAGACAGAAAAAGAGAGAGACAGAGAGAGAGAGAGATGTGTGTGAGAGAGAGGGATAGAGAGAGACAGAGAAAGATGTGAACAGAGAGAAAGAGGTAAAAGAAAGAGAAAAGACGAAGAGTTTGGAGAGAAACAGATGTGGAGGTCAGATAGAAAATAGAAAATTTAGAGAAAGAGATAGACACAGAAAGAGAAGGAGTGAGACAGAATTACTCATACATCAAGAGAAACTGATGGTTAAACTCACCATATTCTTGCTGCGAGACGTCATAGTTTGGACTGAGTTCTGGATACTGCTCTGGTATGGCAACGTTGATTGGAGGAACACTCGGCAGATGCTTGTCATCTAGCAGAGGAAATTAAGATCAAAATTGTTCCTGAGGTCATGAAAGCTAACTTTCAATTAATGTAATGAAGCTCCATTTCAACATTTCATTAAAAAAAGGAAATTGTGAAATGTAATTGTGTAATCATTACAAGTTGTGGTATAGTTTCTGTGGGGCAAATTCTAACAATAATAATAATAATAATATTTAATTTTTATATAGCGCTTATTACAAATGTCTCTAAGCGCTTTACAGATATACTATTAACCCGGTCATTGGATTCAGTGCTTGCCCGCACACAATGTGTGCACAACAACATAGCAGAATATTGCTGAAAATGCACCAGCATGGTTATGTGAAAATGGGACAGTGTTAAAAGAAGGTAACAGTCATGGGCATCACCAAAACATTTTGTGAAACGTCTCAAATTTGCTCATTACACACATTGTCTATGAGATTCATTTGGCAGATGTGATTCATCTATACATATGAAAACTTGGTGGTAATGGACCGGTTTACTGACACATTCAAATTTACGAATGTTTCTTTCCTAGGAACCTAGTGACGATTTATTCCATTAACCTGTTATTAATGAATGAACTGCAATACTTGGAATCCAGTCTGCATACATTACATGTTGATATGTTGGGTAAGCCTCAGACAAGTTTTCAGGATGTTGAGAACAAATTTTGTTTAAAAAGTATGCATCAAATATGAATATGTTTGTAAACTGGCCTGTTGTGTTCGATTCTGTTCAAATTCCTTTTTGAACGTTTACCAGAAGTTGCAAATACCTGAGAACATTTCACAGTTTAAGCCCCACTTTAAAGCAAGGAGATGAACCAAATAGAGAGAAAAAATGAGTGTAAAATAAATATTTTTATAAATAATAGATTTCTTAAAATAAACATTTTTTTATAAATAATAGATTTTTAAATATAAATGATCTTACCTAGTCTGCAAATGAGATGGACATCCTTGCTACTGGTGTGGAACATGGGATCAAGGTTCACTCTGAACTTTGGGGCAAGACGGGCCACCTCCCCTTGGATGATGTTAGGGATAGCAGTCTGAGTTGTCGGGCTACGGTCATGCTCTGTCTTCAACTTCTTGGCAGGCGGGGATGGGAAACTGAAATGAGGAAACGGAAGCCATGGAAAATAATGACTTTGTGGTTGAAAGCAATAGTTGTAAGGAGAAAATTGCATCACATAGAAGCCATTATATACCTCTCTTTAAAAATCTAGCCATCTGATTGGTCAAAATTGGAGTCTTGATTTTAGCCATTCCCGTAAAGAAACGAACAATGCCAGTAACGGTCAATAGTCATGAGTGAGATTCCCTAAAGATTACGGGTACCGGGAAAATAGTAAAATTTTGATGAGATCCCCATTGGTTTACGTGTTAAAATTGTCTTTGAGCGAGCGCGGACACCACACAGTGCTTTTTGTCTGCGATTCCCAAATGATTGTAACTTTCAGTCATCTTTCCAGCGATGATTGACAGACAGTGTTTCAGATTTCCTGTGATATTTTAACCAATCTTTACTCAATCAAAGGATAAGGTAAGAATTCTTGGTAGATTTTTGTGTCAATAAAAGACAAATCGACTGCTTTAATATTCGAGGCCTGGCTGTTGGCTCTCACAGACGTGCACATCCCCTTGAGCCTATAAAACAGCCAGGCCTCTCAAAGCAATTGATATATCTATATAATTTTCGCAACAGGTCTCTTTTTCTCTCTCTCTCTCTCTCCCTCTACGTCACAACAAGCTAACTGCTACATGGATTGACCACTCACTGGGATGGGTTCCCTTGCAGGGTCGTCAGGGCGGGGCCGAACGTCCTCTGGAGGGTGTGGTTGATGTAAGGGGAATCAATGTTGGCCTTCACTGCATCCAGGAGAGGCTGGAACATGTTCGTCTTCCCCATGATCCTCGTGTCCAATGTCGACGTAGCGCTGGCGGACGTGGCTGTTGTCGATGTCCCTGCAGCGGAGGTTGAGTTGGAGGTTGCGAGTTGCTGTATAAGAATAACAATGATGTGTATTATAAAGGCGCACATAACTACTTTGCAGTTTCGTTATTATCATATATGATTCTTGACCTTTTTCGACCCCACTATAGAACCCACTGTCATATCTGACAAATCTTATCAGTGCCATTTTCTCCTGTAATAAAACGGTAAATAGATTCAAATTACATTCATTAACCCCAAACACCCCAATAATCCCCATAGGGATGAGAACGTACATTCCTCACCTGCTCAAAGCCCTCCAAGTACTGTTCACATTTGGTAAGTTCTCTGCATCTCTCTTCCTCTTCATCTAGCTTTCACTACGATCTCCCTCTCACTTTCCCTTTATCCCCCCCCCCCTTCTCTGCACCCCACACCTATTAACATTCTTTGTCTATGCTGCACATCATACAAACTTTTCAATACACATCAGAATCAAGCCAAAATGTGTTTAGTACAGCAAATGCTTTTAGGAGAAAATGATCATGGCTATATGGAGCGGGATTAAAGTTATACTAATGAAATGAATGAAAATGAGTCGGTGTGAATGTTGATTTCTCACCTGCTCAAAGCCCTCCGGGTACTGCTCACATTTGGTGAGCTGCTGGATATGGAAGGGGATTAAAGTTAAACTAATGAAATGAATAAGAATGAGTCAGTGTGAACGTACATTCCTCACCTGCTCAAAGCCCTCCAGGTACTATTCACACTTGAAGAGTGAGTCTCTTGTTAGGGTTGGGGTTAGCAATGAACTCTAGCAGATCCTTCATCTTATTATATGATCATGGCGATATGGAGGGGTATTAAAGTTAAACTAATGAAATGGAATAAGAATGAAGCGGTGTGAACGTACATTCCTCACCTGCTCAAAGCCCTCCAGGTACTGTTCACACTTGAAGAGTGAGTCTCTTGTTAGGGTTGGGATTAGCAATGATCTGTAGCAGTTCATGGCGATATGGAAGGGGATTAAAGTTAAACTAATGAATGGAATAAGAATGAAGCGGTGTGAACGTACATTCCTCACCTGCTCAAAGCCCTCCAGGTACTGTTCACACTTGGTGAGCTGCTGTAGGGTGAGTCTCTTGTTAGGGTTGGGGTTAGCAATGATCTCTAGCAGACCCTTCATCTTATTCACATCGGTTGCACTGAGACCACCTACAAAAACAACAAAAATCAAAAAGATTGTTAAGTGAAACCTGTCTATAAAGACCACCCAAGGGAGACAAGAAAATCAGTCTTTATAGGCAGGTGGTCTTTTTTTTTTTTTCTTTTGCACGTAGTAGGCTGCCTTTCTTTATGAATGAATCTTTTAATTATGAATACAAATGATGATGATATACTTAACTATCTTGAATCTAGCGCAGACTCGTTAGAGTATGATCTTGGTGATGGCAATGACGCTGTCACGAGTCACTGTAATTATTGTACAGAAAGCCAATTCTCTCAAAAAATAGGTAATTCTGGTGATAACGAGCTTTCTTTTCTACATTTTAATGTTCGTAGTATGCAAGCAAACTTTGATAAATTAAATGTATCTTTGCAGAACATGTGCTACAGTTCTACGATTATAGGAATCTCTGAAACTTGGTTATCGAGTGAAACTGAAGGAAATGTATTTTCTCTTCCAGGAAGTAATTTAATTATGAATAATCGACAAGATAGAAGGGGAGGAGGTGTCGCGTTGTATGTCCCCACGCAGTTGAATTACCGAGTTTTAAATGAAGTTAATGTGATGAATGATTTAATGGAAAGTGTTTTTGTAGAAATGTTTTTTCCTGGCAGACGGAATGTTATAGTTGGGGTCGTTTATAGGCCGCCACAAGGTAATGTGAATTTGTTTATAAATGAAATGCAAACTGTGTTGTCAAATTCAATATTTTTGCATAAAACAGTCTTTGTCATGGGTGATTATAATGTTAATCTTCTTCAGCACGATGAGAATGCATACGTTTGTGACTTTTTGAACATGTTTATATCTTTCTCTTTATTGCCCTTAATAACTAAACCTACCAGAGTTACAGACACTTCTTCTACTCTCATTGATAACATTTTTTGTAATGTACGACCTTTACCAGAAGCGGGTATTATAATTTCAGATTTGTCTGACCATTTTCCAGTATATGCAAGGATGTCTTTTGGTATGAATATCCGTAATATTTCTAGTAATAGATATGTTCGAAAAAGTAATCCTACCAGTATTGCTAAATTTAGAGATGAGTTGTTAGAAAGTGATTGGAGAGAAGTATTGAGTGATTATGATGTTGATAGCTCATATGATAAATTCTTAAATACATTCTTTTTGCTGTATGATAAAAATTTACCTTTATGTAAATGTAATACCAGAAATCGTAGAACAACCCCTCGATTGCCATGGATCACTAATTCTATGTTGAGGTCAATAAATAGGAAAAATAAGTTGTACTATAAGTATAAGATTAGTAAATCTCAGTCTTCACATAGGAAATATACTATTTATCGGAATACTCTTACTTCAACCCTACGTGCTGCTAAGAAGCAGTATTACTTTGCTCAATTTCAGGCGACACATAATGATATAAAAGGGACATGGAAAGTGATTAGGAATGTTTTTAAGCCAAAACAGAAAGCTTCTGATGTAAGTAAATTAAACATTGATGGGAATGTAGTGGATGATCCAGAAGTTATTGTAGATAAATTCAATGAATATTTTTGTAATATTGGCCAGAATTTGTCGCGTGTCATCCCAGAGTCTCAAAAAACATTTCAATCTTTTTTAGAAAGCCCTAATCACAATAGCTTATTTTTATTGCCAACGACTGTAGAAGAATTATTTGATATTGTACATTCTTTAAAGAATAAGAAAAGTCCAGGTTGTGACTTTATAACAAATGAGTTGATAAAAAATGTAATTGATGGTATTGTACAACCCCTCGTACATATATTTAATCTATCAATGACCACTGGTGTTGTACCCATGAAAATGAAAATTGCAAAGGTTGTGCCCGTTTTTAAAAAGGGTGATGCCCTTATCTTGAATAATTATCGTCCTATTTCTTTGTTAAATTCCTTTTCTAAAATTCTTGAGAAGCTAATGTATACTCGGACGATAACATTTATGATGAATGCTAACATTTTGTCTAATTTTCAGTTTGGTTTTCGTGAAAAACACACTACCACTCATGCTATTCTACATTTGGTTGATAAGATATCCAGTGCCTTAGATGCACACATGCATACAGTTGGTGTCTTCTTAGACTACTCTAAAGCGTTTGATACTGTAAATCATTATATTTTAATCGATAAACTGTGCCATTATGGTGTAAGGGGAATAGCATTAGATTGGTTTAGAAGCTACTTAACAAATAGGAAATAGTTTGTTACTTTAAATGGAATTGATTCAGATTTGCGGGACGTCACTTGTGGGGTCCCACAGGGATCCCTTCTAGGCCCGCTTTTGTTTATTGTGTATATTAACGATTTTCAACTTTCCGCAAAAATGTTATCATTCATTTTATTTGCAGATGACTCGAGTGTATTTTTCTCTCACAAAAATCCACAAACTCTTTTGCGACTTTGTGGATTCATGCAAACAAGTTGTCTTTAAATCTTAAAAAAACTAATTATATGCTCTTTAGTAATTCCCTGAGTATATTGCCTGGAAATATAATGTTCAATGGTGTTGAGATTGAAAGAGTATCTACATTTAAATTTCTTGGCCTGCATATTGATGAACATTTAAATTGGAAGTATCATATTAGTAAACTTTGTAAATTATTGTTAAGAAATACTGGTGTAATTTATAAATTGAAATCTGTGTTCCCACTGAATATTTTACGTATGTTGTACGGAACTTTAATTTTGCCATATTTGAACTATGGTGTGCTAGCTTGGGGCAACCCTTTCAAATATCAAATGGATAAATTACTACTGGTACAGAAAAGAGTAATACGAATTGTTTGTAATACACACTATCTTGCGCATACAGATGTTCTTTTTTATAATAGTAGTGTTTTGAAAGTTGAAGATATATAGGAGCTCTAATGTATGAATTGAATGCAGGTCTACTGCCAGTAGCCTTGGCTAGAATATTTAAGAAAAATAACCAAGTTCATAGTTATTCCACACGTCAGGCGCAAGCATATCACTTGCCTCTTGTTAGAACGCAATTTGCCCTTACTACTGTGGGGTCCACTGGACCTAGGTTTTGGAATTCCCTTGAACCAAGAATAGCGCAATCAGTCAGTATTTATGTATTTAAGCGCAAACTGAAGTTACTATATTTGAGTCGATATCGTCTAGATTTATAGTTGTGATCAATATTTAAGAAAATTAATTACTATATAGGTCAGCATAATTCTAGTCCCATCTCTCACATCTATTCATCTGTCTGTCTTTTTTTGTTTTTGTCTGTGTTTCAGTCCTGTTGCTCGTTGTATTTTCCTGTTTCTTTTGTTTATAGCCATTATTTAGTAGTCAGTAGATTTTATTTTATTATACTTATTTATGTTTATATTTTATCAGTTGTTTAGTTAGTTTAGTTTGTCAGCACTTAAATGTACGCATTATTCTTATCTGACGAGTTTTGTTCTTTTATTCATAAGCTACTCATGAGGGACCTTAAATCCACAAGCCTTGCTTTCAACCAAGGTCACCTCATCTTTCTTTTGTTAACGCCATATTCTGTAAACTTGTTATATTCATGTCATATTTGTAAAGTGTGTTATGAAAGAAAGATAAATAAAACTTGAAACTTGAAACTTGAAATGTACATGTACAGGTGCCTATAGTACATATTTAAATGAGAAACCATTTTCAAGGGAAACAATATATATGGTAGACAGGTGGTCTTTCTAAGCAGGTTTGAAAGTATAACCTGTTCTATGAATGTTCTCAATTTTTTCGGTCAAGGAGTAAACACATTGCTACATACAAGTCAACTGAGCCTATTGGTCCATGTTATTCAGTTCAATCCAATGCAGGGATTAAATCAATGTCAGTAACACGTTACAATAACTGTTATAAGCTACTGAAATTGTTGCATTTGATTTTATGAAAAAGGGGCCTGGGGGCGTTTCACAAAACCTCTTTTCAATGACAAATGATAAAAATCAGTGACAAATCTGCTGATAACCAATCAGAAGTGAGGATTTTAGTAGCATATAACAGAGAACTTTAATTGGTCACTGATAACAAGTTTAATGAAAACAGGGCCTCGGTGCAATGAGATACCAGAATAACCCACTCTTACCGGACTCCTCTCTGTTGCTGTTGGCCAGGATGGTCTTCTTCAAGGGTTCAATGTACTTTGAGAGGAACCTCATCTTCTCCTGGTAGGCAATCAGCTCCGCCTGGCCCTGGTTGGACCCCGGTCCACCTCGCATCCCTCCCCCGGGGCTGGGGTTGATGCTCCCCACTGATGCTGGGTTACCTGCAGAGGATAGCAAAGGATGTATATCTACTGACGAACCAGAAATGTTCACAATATGAAAAATTTCAGAAATTTGCAAAAATTTGGTGTAGTATCAGTTGTTATTCACTTATTTAATAAACTTTCATGAACCTGAACCCTTTAGCAAAATTTATTCGAACGAAATTGGGAGAAAAGGGCAGCAAAGAAAATAAAATGGTAGGAAGAAGGAACATTTAGTAACAACAGAAAATGCAAAGCAGCATGGGAAGAAAAATCAATTATATCAGGTTCATGTGAAATTTTGTTGCTCTTCCCTGGAGCTACATTACACTACTAAAAGGAATAACCTCACACATAACAATGCTGACCACCCCTCTCACCTGGAGTATTGAGTGTGCTGCTAGGGGAAGGGACACTGGGAGGGCCTCCTCTCTGGGAGCCTGCACTTGCTGGGGAGGGGATGGAGAGGCCCTGAGGGGAGGGTGATGGTTGTAAATAGCTGGCCGGGGAATGCATGGCATTGGATCTGTCATGGAAAGAAGAATAAGCAATCTGGATTATCTGATGGATTCATGTTATGCTATCTCGACAATGGTTCAGATGTGTAAATCCACAACCACATTGATCATCATATCTATATTTCTTCTCCATGTTACCTCAAGTACCATTTGTGTCATCTTTATAATCATTACAACCATAAGCACTTCTACTAGTACCATAACCATCGTCAGCATCATCATCATTATCACTAGCATCAGTACCAACGTCATCATCATCATCATTAATGCCATTATCGACATTACTGTCATCATTATTAGATCATCATCATATCATCATCATCACGACATTGACAGAATCGACTCTCCAATTTCTACCAATTTTCCCCATTCCCAACTTCACCTACACAACTACCACCACCATCATCATCACCATGGTGACCGCATCTTCTCTTACCCTGGAGCTGATCCTTGCTGAGTCGGCTGAGCTGGTGAAGGCTGCTGTCTATACACAGGGGAATCTGTCACAACGGACTAAAATCCAAACACAAAGGAAAAACGGTTAAAGAATCTACTGTAAAGGCTGTTATTTTCCATAATTAATTTTTCGCGCTGAGAGACCCCAAAACATATATGCACAGGTTCTTAAATTCAGCCCATTCAAAACATGCATAAGAGGTCATGCTTATATTTCCGCGAGTTCTAAAATATGAACTTGGCGATCTTAGCACGAAATCCGCGAAAAATGAATGTACCGCAAATATTTCTACGTTTACAGTAGTGCATTAGAACAAACACAAAAATAGTGGATGTATGATGAAGTTTAGCATTGGATAATATTATTCTTCAGATGGTAGTTGAGTGATATTAATATTATTAGTTCCCATGCACAACATGATGTTAAAAACTCATAGGGTACTAAAAGCTTCACAATCCATTTTCACATCTAAAAGAATATTCTGCCCATTTCTTATAGTGATTATAAACTTGTGTGCACTGTAAAATGGTGGATTTACTATGATGAAGTTTAGCATTGGATGATATTTTACCAAGGGTGGTTGCGTGATATTAAGATTAATAGTTTCACATGCACCACATGATGTTAAAAACTAACAAGAAAGATAAATATTAAATGAACATTTCTCATAGTGATTATTTATTTGTGTGCACCTTAAATGGATGGTCTCTATAAGTAATGTGGTTTCTTATTTTTTATATAAGGCCCCAATAAGGGACTTCTGGAGAAAAAAAATAGTGCACATCAAGGCTAAAACTGGTACTGTAAATCTGTTACTTTAAATATCACTAGCTTTTATTTTTTCATTTTTTGTACCGGAGTATTGGCTCAGTCAGTAGAGCGTCCACCTCACAACCGGGAGGTCGTGGGTTCGAACCCCGGCCGCCTCATACCAAAAGACGTTAAAAGATGGGAGTTGTTGCCACCTTGTTTGGCGTTCAACAATAAGGGATAGAGCAACGTCGATCTGGCGCTGCTCAGTGGCTGCCGGGCTCATGATCAATTGGGCAAAAAGAATTTCCGTTTCGGTTTAATAAAATTTGGAGTGGACTATTAGGCTATTATTATTATTATTATTATTTACACTACACTAAAAAGAAGGCAACCTGTAAAAATACAATAAGAATAAATACAACAAGTCTTGTACAAATGTTGTGACATGCACTGAACATGAGAAAATGTGAAACAGTTTGATCAAAGAGACTAAAATAAGAATTGATTCAATGTCAAAATCTGCAGAAAAGTGCAGCATGCAGTGACAAGGTGCAACATACACTAGTGATGCAGTGCTGTTTGATACAGTGAAAGTGAAATTTACACTAACGTAGAACGCACAAATAATAAAAATCGAAACCATTTAAGAGAAGTAAATCTGACCAAGAAATCGTTGGACATGTAATTATTACGAGATGAGACACTTCATTAACTTAGCTTTGAAGTGCTTAAACAAGTTTGAAAAGGATTGCAGTAAAAAAATAAGGCAGAAAGGAGTAAAACAAAATCACAACAAAAAAGAAAAATCATATTGAAAGAAATACTTAAGGTGAGACTATGAACAAAGCAAGAATTAAGTTAGGAAAGAAAATAAATGATGTTGTCATCAAGTAACATAACATTATTTCAGCCGAAGTTAAAATAATATTGAACATTTTTTCAAGCCTGTTTAATTACTTTATATATCGTTGAACATATAATGATATAAAATCATTTTGTAGGATTGTTTGCAAATTGTGCATTAACAAAAATAACTTGCATGGCGTTACCTTTTTAAAAATTTGTTCAAATACATAACGTGTTTTCTACATCTCTTTAGCAAACTTAGATATGTTGCTCTTTCAAGTTACATGGTAAGCAGTTCATTAGATGATTCTGATATCTTAACAATATCTGAAAATGGATTTATGAATAACTCTAATTTAAAATGTATTTCAAAAGGTTTTCATTTTCAAGAAAGAAAAAAAAATCTTAATAGCTGTGAAAAAATACAAATAATACTCCATATTCAGGACTAGATCCATGATGAATTGCACAAAAGACAGTAATTATCCATGCTTTTGACTACCTAGGACTTCAATATATTTTTTCAATGTGAAGAGTTGGAGTTACACCTCTCATAATACAATTAACATTTCTACATAAAACATTCACAGAGTGGACAAACTTTCATCCATTCTTGCAATAAGTACACTTAAAAGTAATGTCTACCCGTTGCCCTATATTTAGAATAATTTCATGCCTCAACATATGTGCACTATATATTTACTCGCTGGGCAGCATTCTTGTGGTTTACTCATGAAACATTCATACAAACATGATACGTGATATGAATGAACCAAAGAACATTCCATTTCATGACAATCCATTCCACAAACTAATATGACTCATGAATTCAACTGGAATATGGGTACTATGTATATTTTATAGAGGGCAAAATTGCAATGGCGGTGACAATGCTTTAGAATAGTGTAATTCCATTGACATGACTTTCTGATCGTGATAGGTATGATTTTATTTAATTGTTATCTTCACTATCATTTCGTCATTTTCACATTAAAAATGGCTTAATTTACTACCTCTTTATATCACTAAATCTGAAGTTTATATCAAATGTAAGAGTGCTTATCTATATGTGTGCATAACACTTGAACACATCCTAAAATGATCATTTTAATTGCATATTTACCATTAAAATTGAATACTATTTAATATTTATTATATCAGTGCATGGGACACAATAGCAAAGCATGGTACTATCATATGTTGTAATGGTTAGATAGATGAACGATGCATCTATAGTTATGTGTGTGAGGATGGGCTGATGGGGGAGGGGAGGGTGGAGGGGGGTTACATGCAGGGGAAAACCATGTCAATCTACTAACAGGCACTAACTTGTGCATGACAACATTGCTTATATTAAAAATATTAAAAAATGATTATACTTATATGGTCATCATGAGGGTGGGCAGCAAGCTGAGGTTAGGTATCATGATCATGATTACTATTACATTAATTCATAACAATATGGGGGTGTGGTGGGGAGGGGGGAAATGAGGAGTCCGTGCTATTTCTACTTACATTACGATCAGACCAAAAATAAAAAATAATGAAACAAGACCTGACAAGACATTAAACCGCATGGTATCCATGATTTTCAACAACTATATACACAGGCTGACTAGATTCGATACGAACCTGCAGTTGACTAGCAATGGTGAATGGGTTAAATAGTTAACTGGTTAAAACATGACTAGTTACACACCTGAGGGGACATCATGTAGGGATAGCCACCATAAGGAGACATAGGTGCCCTGGACTGCGGGGGTATAAAGCAGCAGATTAAATAGTGATTGCGGTTAATAGGCTTCTACTAGTTGACGTCTTGGGTCAGGCATCAATCGTTTACATGTCAATAGGCTTGTTCACACACAAAACAATTCTTAGAATGGAGGAGGGCCTTAATTTAATCCTTAAATCCCAACGACAATCATTCCACATTTTATGATTTGGCTTGATAACTTTTGATTCAGAGCCTTAATAAATATGCCAGATGCACGAGTAGAAAGGGCAGAATTTTCTGCATCAATTTTTGTTTCAAGACCATATTGCGTTTGATACCAAGAATTTCAAAAATGAAAATAAGCTTTAAAATCCTTAAATTGGCAACACATTGAGGAATTCAAAATTATTTTTAAAATCAAAATTGAAAATTTTCCAACTTTTTGATAACATTCTCGGCTTTTCCCACCCACATTTGTCTTCAGAGACATTACAGTTTATTTCAATAATGTAGCAATGAAGAAAAAAATGTATTATTGCTGCCTATTTAAAGAACAATATGTGATCAACTTCGACATACATGTAGCGACAAAATTAAGGTCATATATCAAATATGTGAATGAGTACAAAACGAATGGGCACAAAAAAAGGTGAGATTTGAATCACGATTCAAACCTCAGTTTTACTTTGCGTGTGAACTGGCCTATTGTCCCTAGTTTTCATCCCATTTGATCTACTGGTAATGTTAGGGTTAGTTCTCATGGGTTACACCTATTATTGCTTCAACTCCATCATTGTACATCTTCTGAGTGTTCCATCAAACAAAGTATCAATAATTACTGGTGTTCTTATTTTAATTATTGAAATTTGGCCAAACTAAACATTTGCAGAAACTTAATGTATTACACATATCAAAAAGTAACCTTTGGCTACATAAAACAGGAAAAAATGAACAGTTTTGTTATTTAATATTAGAGTTCTCAGTGATTGGACCCAATTAGGTTTGTGTAATTTGTCGCACATTTACATATATCATAAAAGATACAATGATCAATTTCTTTAGCAGTCTTTCCAAAAAGTGCATATTCTTGAGAATTTACTTTAAACGCTGTTTAATTACAATACAAAATAAACTTGAAACCTCTTTCAATGGAAACTTTCGGTTGAGAAAATAAGACTATGAAAGTTATATTGTAGAAAAAACCCTGCATGTTACCATTTAGTATTGTCATACCCAACACCTAAGGCTATTATATGCTGGGTTGAAAAGTGTAGATTGTTAAAGGTTAAAAATATAGTGATGTGAGTAGACAGTGATGAATGACAGATGGAGAAATCATTCTGAAAAACAAGCTCTATATGAATATTCTAGCTTGAAATGAAACCTTTTGCAACACTTGTCAAGACAGTTAACAATTGCACAAATCAATCACTTCTAAAAAGATGGCTGTAAGAATGAAATAGAGGTTAAATGAATTAACATGTTAGCAAAGCTAGAGGTCAAGACTGGTTTGATATTTAAATTCACAGCAAAATAATCATGTAAGAAGAAAGTAAACACTGCTATAACAAAAAGGAGGAACACTGCAATATTTATGCACATGAATATACACACACTATTTGCAGATCCTTTCAGTACAGAGTTCATAATAACAAATAAATGAATATATGGGACCATATGTTAAAGTGGAAAGAGTATTGAATTAATCTAAATTTTGGATTGATGAATGGACAGGGTACGATTGGGGTTAGAATGGGGCAAATATGAAGAAAGATGGTGTAAGAATCATAATTTTTTTTTCTGAAAATGACTAATGACTAAACAAGGACTAATTGCTAGTATCAAAGGGGACTGTTAGACATGCATTAAAATTTATACATGTAAACAGTGAAAAAAAAATATTATGATGGGTGAATATGGTAACAAAATAGCAACAGGTATCAATTAAAGGGTATGGTTCCATTGGAAACATATTTAGCACAGGTGAAGTCTGAAGAGTTTGTGTGAACAAATATGAATTAAATTCTAGACTGATAAAATGCTAGTTACCTAATAGGAATGCTTGAAGATAGTTAATATAAAGGAAAATTAATGAATGAGGTTTAAAACAGGACTCAACATTTGAATGAATGATTAATTAATGGGTAAAGGGTATGGTTCCATTTGAAACATATTTAGCACAGGTGAAGTCTGAAGAGTTTGTGCGAACGAATATGAATTAAATTCTAGACCGATAAAATGCTAGTTACCTAATAGGAATGTTTGAAGATAGTTAATATAAAGGAAAATTAATGAATGAGGTTTAAAACAGGACTCAACATTTGAATGAATGATTAATTAATGAACATGTAGGATATGTACAGAATGTTTCAAAATAACATGGTCAGGGAGGGACCCGGGTAAGGTGACAGATGATTAATTAATCAGGGTTAGGGTTAGGGTTGCGGTTAACGCTACAATTATGGTCAGGGCTATGTATAGGGTTTTAGGTTTAGTCTTTGGTTAGGTTTACAAAATGATGGCAGAGAGACTGTTGCCGGAGCAGGCGCGTACGCAGGATTTTTTCAAGGGGGGGGGGGGTTTAACATTTTAAAATCGGGCCGAAAATTTCGCAACGACTCAGCCAGCCGCTGAATAAGCGGGGGGGGGGGTAAGGGACAGTCGCTGAAAAGGGGGGGGGGGGGGTAAGAGGGGACACTTTTTTGGTCTTGAAATTTGAAAATTTGACATGTTGCTCCTTTGGGGGGAGGGGGGGGGGGGTAAGGTCAACCTTTTTAGGTCAGCCATTGGTATAATTTTTTTTTTTTTAATTTAAATTTAAAAAACAAACAAAGGGGGGGGGGGGGGTTTTCCTCCAAAATACACACATAAAAAATCAAAAAGGGGGGGTTCAACCCCTAACCCCCCCCCCCCCCCCCTGCGTACGCGCCTTAGCCGGAGCATGTGTCATGGATTCCTTGTAAGGATTATAGACAGTTATTAAAGGAACCTGATGATAACAACACCCATTAAACTTCTAGGTGTGACACTCTATACTTGCTCGTACCTAAATGTAGGGTGGAGCAGAGTACTTGAGATCGGGGTTAGGGTCAGTGTTAGGTTTATGGTCAAGGTTAGGGTTAGTGTCGAGGAAAAGAATTTGGTTAGGTCTACAAAATGACATCGGAGAAACTGTTGACGGAGCATGTGTCATAGAACCCTTGACGGGATCGCAGAGAGATCAGTAAAGTGTCCGGCCGATACCAACACACATTACTACCACCATTCTTACCTGTATGGGCGGGGTGGACTGAACCGGGTAAGAGCGGGGTACTTGAGCCCGGGGCGGGATCGGGGCCTGGGGCTTTTGGCCCTGCATCACCATAGTATTCTACCAACACAACAAAACAATGATTACAGATGCATACATGTACAAGCAATACAAGACGAACGGACTATGTCTAAGCCACAAGCAAAGTATAATACAATTCAGACCTCCACTAATGTCGTTTTAATAATTGGAGTCTACATTCATAGGTTTCCCTTTAAAGGTACTATGTCCCATTTGCAGGCCCAAAAATTGAAAAGGTTAAATTCTAGGTTAAATTCTAACAGCATTTGAAAGATAATACTAATATATAACGTCCGTAGGGGTGGGGGGGGGGGGGGGGGGGGGGGCTTGTACCATTGTACCGGATGGTCGTACGTTTTATGCTGTGCAAAAATTCAATCAGTTTAATTTTGGCCATTACTAGAAGTGGGTTATTGATGTAGACAAATGCTCATGTACCCTTTACAGCTCATTTTATGTATGTTAATACCAAAGATGAAAAAAAGCCAGTCAGTCTCTCAAATGAAGTCTAGCAAGTAAACTGGTTTCCTTGCATAATTTGAATATTAGGACACTGCTAATGTTTGAATTTCACAGATAGGACATACATGACATATTCATAATTCATGCAAAGTTCTACAGAATTTTATGTTGGCTGCAAAAGGGACATAGTATCCTTAAGAACACATTAAAGGTTGTTAAACACATTGTGATAAAAACACAATACACCCTTTCACGGTTAAGGCCGCCACTTTAATTTGCGAGTAAACATTGCATCATCAATGTTTTCAGATGCGCATGTATTGTTGCATCACTGCCTACGCTGTGCGCTCACATCATATTGACATCGGCGCCATTTAAAATTACGAGTGAACAACTTTGTTTACTTGTAATTTAATGTCAGCGCTTGCACACTCTTGTAACCGTGAAAGGTTGTATTGCATTTGTGAGATTTATGTCTGGTCTTAATCTGAAATATGGTTGAGTTTCCTGATTTGTAACAGAGAAATGACTGACAAAAATATGTTCAATTTATTTTGTCATGACATGGATAGACATTTCAGCAAAACAATGGCATTTATCACGAGTCTAAAATGATGACAATCTAAAAGCAAATGAATAAATGAAATTTGGATCTAATTCATTTTTTACAGGGATTGTTTCAACATTTCATGGGTACAGTCACATTTACATCGCCAAAATTATCAGAGCATTTAGTCTAGGGTTGCCTTGTTGGTCTATGTGTCTAAACCAAAAGGTTATAACCTTCATCTTTGCTAACATAGTGTTTAAAAAAAAGGAGAAGAAAAAAGCCTTGTTCTTTAATACAGGACACAGCAAACTGACCCTACTGGAAATGGACTTGGTCTTGGGCGAGCAGGACCAAATGTGGAAATGGACTCGGTCTTGGGCGAGTAAGAACAGATGTGGAAATGGACTTGGTCTTTGGTGAGTAGGACCATATGTAGAAATGGACTTGGTCTTGGGTGAGTAGGACCAGATGTGGAAATGGACTTGGTTTTGTGAGAGTAAAACAAGATGTGGAAATAGAGTTGGTCTTGAGTGAGTAGGACCAGGACTTACCTGAAAGTTCTGCTGTGGTCTTACCATCTGGTTCATCTGTTGCTGCGGCATCATGTTGTTCTGGGACATGTTGTTCTGGGGCATGCCCATCTGGCCCCCACCCTGCTGCTGCATGCCGTGCATCTGGTTTGGACCCCCCTGGGGACCCACGGGCATGCCGCCAGTCTGGGGCTGAGGGGTCATGTTTCCACCCCCTCCCGGAGGACCTGGAAAGCCAGTTTGTTGCATTCCTGGAAATGACAAGAAAATAATGATAATAATTTGGAAATCCACATCACATACAAATATAACTATCACCAATCGGTGAACAAGTGTCATTCATATTTTCTACAATTTTTAATACTATAATTGCTGTAGGTAGTTTCAAAAGCCAACTTTTCATATTGTGTAAAATGGTTTTCGCATAGAAATGCATGTTTCTATTCTTAAACTTCAAAGTGGGATCATGAATTTTCGAGTCGGATATTATGCAATGGTATCTGTATCGAGATGAAGTTAGGAAAAATGACCTCAAGACTGTTTAATCTGTCCAACTAAATAACACATTCAAACAAGTTGAAAAACTTGGAGTACCTTTACACTCATGTATGGGTCAATTCTCCTCACATTACATGCAAAATATCATCACTTGGAATCTGCATTGGTTAATTATGCAGCCCCTCCAATTGAAAATACAAAAAAACAAAAAAATCCATATAAAAAGACATCATGCATTCAGTAAAATAATAAGAAATAGAATTATGAATTACAAAATAAAATAAATGGCTGGATCGCCCATATTCAGCGGTATCGTTATGATGCCGCTGGTCTTCCATGGGGACCATAAGGAGCTTAACCCCTACCTACCTCCGACTGCCCCTCCCTGGTAGTGGCCGGGCATCTGGGAAGGTTGTTGTTGGGACTGCTGCGTTTGCCCTGCCTGCTGAGACTGATGCATGCCACCAGAGCCCGGAGCCATCCCACCCCCACCGGGCTGGCTGGGGTTGCTCATGAGCTTCTGAAGGTTCTGAAGCTGCTGCTGCTGACGCTGGTCCATCAGATTGCCCCCTGGAATCAACACAGAGCAGAAAGTTTAATGGGACTTTGAAGAAGTTGACAAAGTTGTTTAAAGGCATCGTTAAAGGAGTCTGTGATATGATGTTATATTGAAGCCCTAAAAAAATTGTGCTTCAAAATGATCATGAAGTGACTCAAAGAAGTAAAAAATCTTTGAGTGACCGGCTTTACCATACTCATTTTCCCCAATAGACTGTAGTGTTATGAAAACCATTAGAAAAACACAAAATTTGGTTTCGATTTCCAATCATAAATATCTTGATAATCAGACAGATGATTGGCTAGTAAAAGTCATGCGTTTCCTGACTGACCTAAAGATTATTAATCATCATTGCAGCATGAGCTAAATCAAGGATTTTGTTTCAGAATCTGAGACAAAGTTCCTGGATCCCTTTAATACAAAAATATTTCCTCTCCTTTGTTTAAAAGATGTTCATGCATGGGTATATTGTAGTTTGTGAAGTAGGCAACTTGACGATCACTCATCGGTATTACCATTTCTGCAAGGATTTTCAAAACAAATGTGTTTGAAGTCGAATATTGATTAAAGAATACAAAATGTAGGTTTTTCTGCTTACAACATGAGAATACCCCAATTTCTTTTCTTCTTTTTTTCTGGGGGGGGGGGGGAAGGGGAATCTATGCAGAAGTGTGTCTTCAATGACATCCTCTTACACATTACGATACAATTTAAGTGAAATTGTTGGCGAATTTGGGGGCTCCAAACACTTCAGAGGGGCTTTAAAATCTGTTATACCTCAGGCCTATTCAAGACTGTATTAGAAATATTGAAGATGCTGACCTTGTGGTTGTCCCATCTGGTTCCTCATCATGGGCCTGTTGCCTTGGTTACCGACTCCGGGGACCATCTGATTAGGGTTGGGCTGCATCTGGAGACTGGGACCACCGGGGCTGTGGGACTGGCCCATCTGAGTTAGCCCCTGCAAAGCTACCATTGGATCTAGGAACATGGTAGAGGTGGCAAATGGTTTAAGATGGTGAAAAATGAAATTCTCTCAGTCTCTTATACTAAACGAGAGAGCCATCCAGGGCCCTACTTCACAAAACATGTCTTCAGTGAAACTGATAGCAAACATTATCTTTAATAGATAACAACACAAATCTACTCCAGAAAAATACTTACACGTTGCGTACAATTTCAGTTGAAAATACACATGTAACGTCTACATGTATATCACCATGCAAATTTTGCGTGAATGCACTACAGAACCTGGCTTTATCAAAATTGTAAATAACAATGTATATTTCAGGTATGTTTAATTGCAATTAATTAATAAATGAAATATCAAATATTAGGAATTGAATTAGAAACTGACCTTGTTGCTGTCCTGCCATGTTGGGAGTCATTCTACCAGTTAGACCTTTCTCTTTGGCAGCTGGAATGAAAATACAAAAACAAACTTACAATGTCTCCACAAAACAACTGAAAGTAGACAGCTTGGCTGCTTTATGAAACTACATCATACATGTACCCATTAAAAAAACAGTTGCTTCCTCAAAAATTCTCAGTAAACCAGATGACTTGGTCTTGGCAGAGTATAGCCTGTGTTTGTTCCTGCTAGTATAAAAGGTGTGGCTTCCTCTTTGGATATCGAGACCAATTCTATGCATGATAGACATTGATTACACGAGAGGAAGAAGGGCACAACTTCATCAAAACGAGTTTTGAGTTCTTGAGGTAGAATTGAAATATGTAAGTTTAAGAGACAAAGTGTTCTCATCTTTCTTCATAGTCAAACCTCACTTAGTGGCCATCTCTATAAAAAGGCCACCAGTCAATAGAGGTAATTCATATTGGCCCCCTCTAGAAGGAATGTGTGTTGATGAACCTGTCTAAAGAGGCCACTTTCAACAGTTGCCATGTTTGGCGGTTTCCCTTGTGTGGCCTTTATAGACAGGTTTGACTGTACATGATCCCTGCAAAGATGAAAAGATTTAGTCTTTTAAAGAGAAAGCCGAGTTCTGACAAAGGTCAACAACAAAATTGTGATCATTCTCATTCTTTGCACGTGACTTTGGAAGATTGTTACCTACTGTAGGAAAGTCTCCTGAAGGGGATTGCTCCTAGAGTGCCCTCATATTTGAAATAGATGTGAGAAAGCTCAAAGGTTTGGACCAAACATCCATGCCACATACAGTATTTATGTAGTCCCATATGCCCATTCTGTGTGCAATGCATGTGATTTTCATAGAGATTGGGTCCATTTGGTATATTTTCATGATCCCAAAACCCTAGAGTATACACTGATTCTTACGCCCCACATAGTCAACCTTTTCCAATTGCTTCTGGACAGTTTCTTTCACAAAGCAATAGCTCAACTTGACCTTTAAAGTTATCAAAGCACCATGTTTATCTCTCAATAACTTTTTTTGATATGTTGATGGAGTTACATCCTGCTCCTTCTCAATACTCCCGAAGAAAAAGGTTTCAGTTAATCCGAATATTAACACAGGGACTCATATGACTTCAGATAAAGTAGAAATTGCAACGTCATTCAATGAATTGTTTGTTAGTATTGGAAAACGACATTCTCCTCTTAACCAACAAAGTTTTAATTCCTTGAATACATTATCAAAGGTTGGATCAACGTTTAAATTCCAAAGCATAGATTTGGAGTTTGTAAAAAGAGAACTTGAGAAAATTGATGTTAACAAAGCTGTTGGTCTGGATGACTTACATCCAAGATTATTGAAAATCGCTGCCCCTTTTATTGCTGAACCACTCTCAATAGTCTTTAACAAATCTCTAAGCTCAGGATGCTTCCCAAGTGATTTCAAAAGAGCCAAGATTATTCCAGTACCAAAAAGTAGTGAAACAAGTGACATTGGCAATTATAGGCCAATTTCTTTATTGTCCTGTCTGTCCAAGATACTTGAAAAGGCAGTCCATGCCCAGCTTTATGAGTATCTCCAAGAATACAAACTGCTATCTCAGCGCCAATCGGGTTTTCGCCCAAAGCATTCAACTGCAACTTGTCTAATTGAAATAACTGATTACTTGTTAAACAATATTGACTGTGGTTTGATAACAGGGGCGATATTCCTCGATCTCAAAAAGGCGTTTGATGTTATATCTCACGAAATATTGTTATTAAAAATGCCATATTATGGTATTAATTCTGTTGAATTAGACTGGTTCTCTTCATACCTAACGAATAGGCAACAATGCGTCTCATTTCAAGGTGTCCAAAGCAATTTTCTACAGATTTACTCCGGTGTGCCCCAAGGGTCTATTTTGGACCCCCTAATTTTTTGCTTATTTCTAAATGATATGTGTAACTTGAAATTTAGTAAACAAACCAAAATTGCTCTGTACGCTGATGACACGGCACTGTTTTGTAAAGGTAACAATTTAAAAAGCAGTCAGAAGAAACTACAAAAATATTATGATTTACTGCGTAAATGGTTTGAAATAAATAGTATGGAAATAAATGCAAAGAAAACTAAAGTGATGGTCTTTGGAACGAAACATAAAACTAATAACCAAATTTTGAAAATCTGTCATGGACGAGACTATCTTGAGAATGTTACCGAGATCAAATATTTAGGCGTAAGTAACCCTTGACCAAAGTCTAAGTTGGACACCACACATATTGAATGTGACTAATAAGATTAATCGGGCTATTGCATGCACTAGAAGGATTAAGAGTTATTTGAACCAAAGCCTACTGAAACATCTTTATTACTCCCTCATTCTTCCACATATAGATTACTGTTCAGTTGTTTGGGGCAAGTGCAAAAAGAAAGATTTACTCAAATTACAGAGGACGCAGAACAGGTATGCAAGATTAGTCCTTAATGCAGACTATTTAACCCCAAAAGACATCCTTTTAAGCACTCTTCAATGGCAAAGTGTTGAAAATAGAATCAACTACCACTACTACATTTTCGTCTACAAAATACTCAATAATCTAGCCCCTTATTATTTAGAACCTTTTGCTTGTAAACGTCCAGTTTACTATGTTACTCGTCATTCTACCTTGAATCCCTTATTTATCCCAAAACCTAAGACTGAATTTAAAAAACGATCTTTTTCTTTCATCGCTCCAAGCATCTATAACAATCTACCGACTCATATTCGCACGGCAACTTCACTCCAAATGTTCAAAAAACAAATTAAATCACTCCCTCCACTTTAATGCATGCACTGGTACCTAATGTTATATTACAGTTAGTTTTGTTTGTTTTGTTTGTTTGTAGTTGTGTAGTCTGTAGTAGTTTTATTTCTTACCTTTTACCCTTTTGATTTTATGTCTGTTATTTATTTATGACATGTGTATTTGTATTTGTATTTTGTATTGTATCAATAATATCTTAATGTTTAATAGTTCTGGCCTTATGTTAATTTTGATCTAGTTTTTAAGTTGTTTTAGCTCTCTTATGGTATCTTGTTTATATAATGTCTTTGTTTTTTTTACAATGTATTCTATTTTTTGTGAATCTTTGTATGTACAGGGCTCTTTTGTAAAGCAGGCCTCTGGCACTGAAAAGACTACCCTGTTTTTAAATAAAACTGAATAAATAAATAAATAATACAATCAACTGTATATTCACAGACCAAGGTCATGGTTCTTACATGTGTTTACCAATGATTGGCTGGAACTTGAAAGGTTAATGCTGCATTCATATCTTAATGGCACATAATGGCAGTCATTATTATTTTGTATAATTACACACTTCCTTATCTGTTAACAGCTGCTTAAATGCCAACTGCAGCAGCACATATCCACAACACCCAGGTGTTAAATGGGTACCTGGTAAGACGTTAATGTGGTTGGAAAGGCATGTGCACACTTGCAAAATAGTGCCTAGCCAGAATACTCCCCTGGGTGCGGAGCGTGTGCATTATAGTGTTTTCTCTTACAAAGAGTTCTCTGTTTGTTTGTACTGAGAATATGTCCCTCTTCTTGGTTTAAGATAAAAGAAAAAATCTACTACATTGGGTGTAAAACTATACACTGTATATCACACAAAAGAAAAATACTGGTAATATATTTTCTTGAGGAAAATTTAGGATTTTCAAAGTAAAAAATTAGAGCTGTACATATATGGATGGAAAACCAAAGTATTAACTTTTCATTTTCAACTTAAAAACTGGCTTATTCTTCAATGGAACCGATCTGCCTAAAATCTTTCCTGATCTGTTTTTTCTTTCTGCTTTATTTCAGCTGAATTGCCAGACCATCCTATGACCATATACATGTTTGTATAAAAACACGGTGCCTGGCCAGACATTAAAAATCATATTGTTTACAAACTGGTAGTCTGTACAACAAAATTATGACATGAACATTGCACCATGAAATTAACAACATTAAATCTGCAATATGTAATTGCCCACAATAACTTCATGACATGAAATTTACAGCATATAATCCATAATATGTACAGTACAGGTACATACAGTATTTACAGTTGTAACAGTAAAAACAATAAATTTACAACATGAGAACTGAAACATGAATTTACAACTTGACACAAGAAAGTCACAACATGAAAACAACAATATATAATGAACAGTCACATGATAAACACAACTGAACATGAATTAGCTCTGTGAAATGGTGAACATTTGGTATAAATATACTTACCATTACTGTCTCTCATATGGAGGATAAGACGAGCTACGAGACTCAGGTAACTATCCTACAAAGCGGGAGGAAGTAGGAAGAGAAGTGGAAAAGGAAGTTGACCATGTAGCACATTCTAAACGTAGACCTCTGGTTTGGGTTACGTACTGCATTTAACAGGCAGGATAGAATTGGTTTCCAACAGGATGCATGTGATATACAGTGTAAATAAGGTCTACCAAAAGACAGATGGTCCGACACGGTTGAGCATTTTTTAGGGTATTTCACATCAGGAGGATTAAATAACAAGAAAAAACATTTGGACAAAAAAGTACATCATGCCTGTTACTACCTGCATCAGGATGACTACCCCACCCCCCCCCCCTCCTCCTAGGTCTGGTATATTATATCCAGACTTACTTACTCACTATAACTTTCAAGTAGTACAATTACACATATCCCCTCTGACAATTTCCTGCTACGCTAGACAACTCCCTTAAAAATTACCTCAATTTTCCTTGCCCATCTATAATTATACCTAGGGGGAGTTTTGACTGGGGAGACGGGGGAGGTACATTTAGTAGTCTAGCTGGTCTGGGTGGGGGGGGGGGGGGGGGGGGGGGGGGAGTCATTGAAGGAGGGGGTGATGATGGTTCCAAGGTTAGTTGTCACAGTTTTGAACAGATGGGACAGGAAGAACAACAAAGCAAGAGAATATAATACAATTTCTCAGTTCATGAATAAATGAATTACTGGTACTCTGTCACGCAGTAAAGCATATTTCTTAGAAAATGAATACTACAGGGTTTCTATCAAATAAGCACTCAAGAAGCAACAGAAACAAGTGATTACTTAACACAGGGATTTTATCATTCAATCTACATGTACTTGAATCATCTTTCACTTTCAGTACCCATTCTTACAATGGTATTTCAAATACCAGGTATTAAAGAAACATGATACAAAATCTCATATGATGTGGTAATTGCCATCCAACACATATTATTCAATACATTACATTTGGCTATGACACAAATCCTATCATTTGTTTGGATGCAACATACATGTACATGTATCTCAATTAAAAAAACACTGAATCTAATATCTTCAACAATATTGAATTCATACATGTAGGTAGGAGCACGATCAAGGGCAAATATTGTCTGAGCATTCGCTATAATACTATATGAAAACAAAGAGGCAAAGTCTACTTTGAACATACCGGTATTCAATAATGAATGTTTTGCTTTAAATTTTTCAACATTTTTTGTTGTTAATGAACTTGAAATTATAGTACCATCTTCATTTCAAACTGTACGTGCAATTTATACTCAGTACCACTAGTAAAGGTTAATGCAGGGTGTTTTTCATTTTGTCAAGGCTATGGATTTGACAAAAATCGCTTTTCTCAGTGCATCTGGTGGCCGAATGTCAGTTTGACCATGTCCGTAAGACAATGTAGTTTCTCCAGCAACAAAATAATTCATAAATTAGTTTATCTGGCTGTCTAGGTGGCCAATGGTGGACAATCTATTTTCTACATGTACTTCCTATAAACACAGTTCTTCTTCAGGAATTGTTCTTCTTTCTTCTTTCTTCAAATAAGAAAATCAACTCAATAGAAGCTCTTTAGTGATTCAGAGTGTCAAAAACAATATCATGCACAACAGACGGACCGAGACACAAAAATTATTAATTGGTAACAGGTCACAGATAAATCCTAAAAAGTGAACACTAAACAATTTCATTTCTTGACATTCTGGAGCAATATGTTTAGCAGAATAATAAGAATTAAATGTTCAGAAAACTTGCCTCTCTTCTCTTTAGCTATTGAAAACACTTTGCACTACCTTCATGCATATTAATTGTAATTGCATCATTAAACCCCCTCTGCACTAGTTTGGCATGGAGGGATTAGACCTCCCTGCAAGGTCACTGGCAGGTGGTTATCTCATCAAATCAGCTCTCAATTAACATAAGAAAAAGGGCATCATGGGGGATCAAAAGGTAACGCTTAGGCATTGTTTGCTGTATAGAGGGCGCAAGTAGCTATAAGTAGTGCAGTGGGGCTTTAAAGGTACTATGTCCCTTTAGCAGGCAAAAAAAAAATGAAAAAGGTTAAATTCCAATGGCATTTAAAAGATAATACTAACTTAGAACATGTGCAGAATGTCATTTTTTCAGCATGACAGAATCAATTTCTTTCCATTTTGATCATTCCACAATCTCACAATCTCTTACTTTGAACGTACTACATATTCTTTATAAATTAGTAAACTTTTTCCCACTTGCTTCTTGACAGTTTCTTTCACAGGGTAATCTCATGTATTAATTTGAGCTTTAAGTAAAAATGAAATAAAATAAATTAAGGTTCTATCTTACCCTATCCCTTGCCCTGTTGAAGATGTGCTCCTCCAGCTCACTACCTGATTTCTCTATTGGGTTGCAGGCATCTCTTAAGGCATCATTGCTATAATAAAGGGAAGACAAAAAATGCAGTTTTGTAATAACAAGCAACTGAATTTATCAGCACATTTCTTAGGACATCATGGCTTAATGCTTACCGGTATTGGCAAAAATCAAACTACATGCAATTAGATAGAAGAGCCATGAGGGCAATGGTGAGCCATGAAAAAAAAAATATCTTGCATTCCATTTCAATACATGTACATCCAAATTTACATTCATAAATGGGGTTTGTTACAAGAAACCTTCCATGTCTTCTTCTATGGGTGCGTTTATCATCCCTAGAATCAGCTTTTTCAACCGTGTTTCAGGCGAATTCGAATGGTGAAAAATGCAAGCCTGTTTTAAAATGTCTTCAGATATGGGTAGCGGGGTATATCAAAACGCCCCAAAAAGAGTGCGTTTTGAATGTGAGAATGAGCCAGAATCACGTTTCTGAGAGATGATAAGCGCAAAGCTGTTTTGAAGCACACATACATATCAGACCTTCCCAGGCTAATTTCCGATTCAGAGAAATAGTGCCCGCCATGTGCTATGCCCTAGTTGACCTCCTAGTAACGCTCTGCTTCCCAGGTCAAACGGCGCAAAGCAGTTTTGCAGAGACAAGGCCTTTGAATCGTGAACAGTTGGTAAATGCGACATCCTGCAAATCATGTTCGAATAGTGGGTTTAATATGAATGTACAGAAACGCCGTTTCTGAGTGGCAAAAGATGATGAACGCACCCTTAGATTAAGAATACTTTCCCTCTACTAATCTGCAATATGGTTCACAGAGCTCTTTGCAAGCCCAGTGATAACTTTTTGTGGCAATTAAGTGCCTCATCGGACTCAAATCTTGCCACATCATTTAAGGATGCAAGTACAAGTTTTCTTTAACTTTTAGGTTCCAAACAGTTTTAGCCTGTAAAAAAAAAAAAAAAATTTATATTCATTTCTAAAAGATTTTTTTTTGCTATATATTTTGGTATCATCTTTAGCTGTGATATACCCATTATTAGATCTTTTCCTCTGAAATTAGCATGTGGCAGCACTTCAATGAAAAGCATTGAATGATTGGACGACGGTACCACATCTCAAAAGATCACGAACACAGTTAGGACTCTATTTCACTTGTTCCATCTATAAATTCCCTTAATTTATTAGTCCAAGGCAATTTTTGAGTGGAAAATCCCTTTCCTGATCCTTTTTTCATTTTCTCAAAAATTGTTTAAAAAAAGAAGAGTAACTTTGCCATGATTTCTCTTTAATTCTTTGAATTATGATTTGATTCTTGTACAACAGTCAATTTCTATAGATGCTAGCCAAATTCAATCGGTAAATCACTATTTTGCAATATCAATCATCTTACATTTTTTACCACAGCAAGGTACAAGTACGTGAAAATTGAGGTCTTCAAAACAACTTTCTTACAGTGAGTGCAGAAGGTGCTACAGACCTATACAGACACATTCTAGCAAAGCATAGAGTCAAATCAATGCTAATGCGTATTGACCTCGAGCGCTGTACTACATGCGGAGAGGCAGCAATTACACACAGTACACAATTGCACACTAATGCACACAATGAATACGATGTGGCTGATCGGCAATTTTGACAGTAGACTCACGATTTGAATTTTCAAAATATTCTTTCTAACATTGGTACATGTAAGTTGAAAAGATTGTATTTTACTGCTATTTAGGTGTCATCAATTGTCACTAAAGTACTGATTTTGAGTGAACTCAGTTGAGTTTAGTAAAGTGGTGTTTGAATTGTTGAGAATCAATAGAACAGTTTTTAATACACAACCAGGATTTTAATGCAGCTACTGGTATGTGTGTACAGACACGGAGTGATATGAGGTTCGGTGTTGAAAGCTGGTGCTGGTGTTGTGAGAACACCAACACCAGCTACAACAGTCAACACCGAACTTGAAATCAGGCTGGTGTTGGGATTGACCTCAGGAAATTATGACTTATTTCCGGTAGTCTGTGTTGAGGGTTAGCTAGCTGGTGTTTAATGTCGTCTGCTGAACCGAGTATCGCGGTTGGTGTTGACAATTTTTTTCATTCATGAACACCAACCCCTAGGGATTGGGAAATTCATGATTTCAAGTTCAGTGTTGGTGTTGGTGTTGCAGTATACCGCAGGTAACTATGCAGATATCTGGCACGAACCTCACGATCATGCTAAGGTAAAAACGTAAAATCCATTATCCAAAACAGCTGTAAATCATGGGAGCTATATGTCTTTTCAAAAGAAATTATATTTTATCTATTGATTTTTTTTTAATTAAGAAATTATGACTCTACATTTGATATTCGTAACAATGTAATTTATTGGAATTTCTGAATGGATTAGTTTTAATATTGCAAGACTTTTCGCCTAGAGTAGGACATCACTCGGTGTTGAGCTATCGTCCTTCTAATTTCTAAACTGACCGTCGGTGTTGGAGCTTAGTTCAGCAGCCTTTCCACGCTCTCGACACACACATACACTAACACCAACTTGAACTCAGTCAATGTACTAAAATTATGAAAACAAACAATTTAAACCAGTCAAAAGGAAAAGTTAAATGAAGCAAGATTATATGAGTGGTGTCGTGTTAATAAAAAAACAACTGTGTCAACAGGAAGGTTGACAAATTCACAAAGTCAAACTCAAACTCAAACTCAAAAGTGACAAAAAAATAAGTAAAAGACTGAATGAAAGTGCCAATGCCGTGCCAATGCCATGCCAAGCGCCAATGACATGTCTCATCTCACTCAGCTCAGCTCAAGTCAATTTCCCAATGTCATGAGAATGACAAATTTATTGATGAATGGTGATTGGTAAGATTGATCAACATATTCTTCCTCATCATGGTCATTTTATTTCAAATTCTTAAAAATGTTGGTTCACGAATAAATAACTCGGCTTTATTCCCCCAAACAAATATTTTCTGGAAAACAAGTCCGCCATCGCTGCGGGACCGGACCCTAGTGTGGTCGTGATAGCCTACCACGGGGACGGGATGCGCAGGGGCTCCGCTCTCGCTTCCGATCCCGGGCCGCGCTCCCGGGCCAGAGCTGAGCCGATGCTAAAATCATAAATTATTCTTAATCTTACATTTGTGCGACGACTTTTGATCTAAACTGAGTCGATCTCCAATTTCCATCAGGACCTCCGCTCCCTGCCGCAGCACTCATTGCTCCTGCTCCAGGTGTCGTCATTTCGTGGAATTTACAGGTTTCCGAACAATAAAATTTAAATATTTTAATTTAATGTCCGAAAAAAGCCCCGTTTTGCCAAACGCTGAAGATGTCCGCTAAAATGCAAGATAGAAAACGGTAAGAAAACCCGCATTGCCAATTTGATTATTTTTCAAATTATCTTAGTCCTAGTAATCTTGACAATTTTCTTCAAATGGGTAGACGCATTATTTCTATACAAAATATAGCCACAACGTAAATTGTAAGTAGCTTCGGTAGCTAATTTGCATGCATGCCGTATACACAATTGGGGTTATGATTAGGGTTAGGTTGGGGTCACTGAAATTAGGGTTGCGTTGATATTAATTATTTTTAGAGACCTTTCTTTTCAACTGAATTAATAATAATGCCTATCGAATATTTATCAATCGTAACAATACAATCCATGCATGAAACCGATTTTCAGTCTCATTCCATAGGCCTACTGGCTTCTTTTCTGAGTGTAGCTGAATTCGCTCTACTATACTAGAACCTGGCCCTATTATGGTAATCATACGTTTTCATATTTTTAAATAGAAACTTTTTACCGACACTGAACACTTATTTTCTTAAAGAACGCCGAAGCTTGAAACATATTTTCTAACATGCATGCCTAATTTATACTCTTATAAAATTACAGGACTCTATATACACGCGGTACGATGAGCATGTTTTTGTTCTTTTCTTTTTTTTAAAGAAGGGGCCGCTCGAAGGGGATGGAGCAAATAAGGCCTCTTCCAATTTTTCACTGAGTAGGCTACCTCCAAAACTGCCCCATTTTACTCAGGAAGAGTGCCCCATTTTACTTCTAAAAACGGTGCCCATGCATTTCCTTAATTCACACCTCTGAATTAAGTGCCCGGCTTCTTCCCTCAGAGTCTTTATAAGCCTAGTAGATATCGATAATAGGGTCTCCCGTCACCCCTGATAAGTGCCCCTTTTCAGATGTGACTATAGCGTTCCACTCCACAATTTAAATTGTTTTAATTAGCTCGCTCACTTTATTCACTCGCAAATGAATCTTGAAAACCCACACTCACAATCATCTCCAAAGCCGACGATGCTGAAGCAGCATCTTGAGAACGTAAAGAGAGAAAATCTTGGAATAAGATCTTTGTAGATTGAATTGCAGGGGTTGAATATAATTATATTAAAAATTTAATCTATACATCTCAAATTTAAATCATATTTTTTTCGCAATGAGGTTACGCTTTGCAGGTGCCCCTTCTTTACAAAAGATGCCCTTTGTGTTGGTGCATCGGCTCCCCCTCTTTGATTGACGCACCGCCTAGCTGTCTCTGTTTCTTTCTTCTTTTCACTCTCCTAGCTCTCTCTCTCTCCCTCTCTCTCTCTCTCTCTCTCCCTCTCTCCCCCTCTCTACTTTTCTCTTACGTGCTCATTATCTCCACCTTCTTCGTTTGGTTTGGTTTTTCGTTTACAAAACATACCAATGATTAAACCGCATGTTTTCCTTCACATTTATAGGCTTTTATTTAATAATACACTACAATAATCCATGCTTTAAATTGGTAAAAAAAAGTAGACATTTAAATGGATAACTGAAAGACTGTGGAGGCTATTATGATTGCCAAATATTTCATTTCACGTCATACTCGTTGCTGTGGAAGATTGTGATTATAAACTATATACAAACAAGTTTAAACATTAAATACATTAAGCGGCATATACCCAATAATGAAAAACGCTATCATAATGTAATAGGCGACATGGCGACACGGATAGAAAATGATGACATAGATCCTCTCTAACTCTATAGTATCCAACCATCCTACAGGAAATGAATTAATATAAAGGTAAAAAAATTGAAATATACGGAGACGAAATACTGGATGCGTGCTCATGAAAGTTATGCAATCATTATTCATTCATACACAATTTTCAGTGCACTCCATGATACACAGGTGGAAATATTCTTTGAAAAGGGGAAACAAAGGCTATTTATATAGCACCATATAGGAGTGATTATTTCAAAATGTACAAAGTGGGACCTCTTCATGTTTTGAAGATCTGTCGATATTCGGGGTCATTGCAGTAATGTGCTATACCGTGAACTGGTCTATTAACATAATGTTTGTCTGAATCACGTGATTCTTCTTCTCGCTGTACATATTTCATTCATTTCATTTAATTTATTTTCATATAAATTTTCTCATGTTACATATACATTTCAAATAAAGCACAAGTCGTTTTTTCAATGATACATAATAAATAACACAAAGATAAGTGGTCATTATGATAGGACCTACATGAAAGCAAGCTTGTAAAGTTGTAGGCCCCAGTGAAATATTTTGTGGTAATGAATGGAGGACGGATATAAATAATGACTAGTCTAAATGAATCATAAAATAAAAAGGGAAATAATAAAGAAACATGCAGTGGTGCTGTTTATACTGTCCCTTCCTTTCTTACATGCAGTGTAGACAAAAGTACACGTAATTAAACTATTGTACAATGGGTGCTCAGCTGGTAAACGAACATTACAGATAATAATAAAATGATTACATTTGTATATTACATACATACATAGAATAACGAAGCGAGCACGCACACTGTGTCAGCCGTCGCACTCTCGGATTTAAAAGTAAGGATGTTTTATTGTTTTTTTATTTTTATTTTTAGACGTATTTTCAAAAGCACGACAGCCAAACCCAACGCGCTTGCACGCAAAAGTTATACATTGACATCAAGATATGCTTTGAAAAGCAGTTCCTTCAGTTAACGTTTGAGCGTTTATAAGGAAGGACTTCAATTAACTCTAACGGTAGGGCATTCCAGTATCTGGGTCCTGTAAACATAATCGTTTTGGGGGCAAAAACAGTTCGGTTACGTGGAAGGTGTTATGCGTTGCTCTGACGTGTGGGATAAGCATATAGGGATCTATTTTCCCGAAACATTTGCAAAAATATTTCATGTAGTAAGTTATTAAGTTATTAGCAGATAAATTATACATGAATATACCAAAGTTGTAGTAGAATAAGTCTGGTAATTTTAGGATTCCGTTTTCATGGAACAGGTTATTGGTGTGATATCCTATACATGATTAATATTTCTAATATTATAGTGCGTTTTTGAATGCGAAAAAGCATATTTACTAAATTTCCACAAGCGTCACCCCAGGTTAGAATTCCATCGGTGAGGTATGGAGTCATCATAGCACAATTTATTTATTTATTTATTTAGTTTTATTTTAAAACAGGGTAGTCTTTTCAGTGCCAAAGGCCTGCTACAAAAGAGCCCTGTACTTACAAAGATTTACCCAAAAATAGAATACATTGTAGAAAACAAAGACAAACAATATACCGTAAGACATTGAGAAAATTATATCAAATGAATAAAAAACAAATTAAAAACTAAAACAAATTAAAAACTAGATCAAAATGAACATAAGGCCTAAAATATTAAACATTTAAGATAATAATTGATACAAAGTAGAATGACCCCAAAAAATACAAATACACATGCCATAAACATAGATTTAAAATCAAAGGGGTAAAAGGTAAGAAATAAAACTACTACAGACTACATAACTAAACAGACAAACAAAACTAACTGTAGGGTAAAAGTCATGATATAACATTAGGTATACAGTGCACGCATTAAATTGATGGAGGGAGTGACTTGGTTTTTGAATAAACTGATGATAACATTTTACTTCGGGAAAAGTGTCATTTAAGGCTATTGAGTATACCAGTATTTCTTGAGAGGGCCTTGCTCAAATTATTAATGTGGGATTTCCAAGATAAATCAATAGCAATATAAAGTCCCAGAAATGTAGTGCAGTCGACTTGTTCTAGTTCGGTATTATTAAAATTGACATGATTAGGAAGTATTTCTGAAGTATTACTAAAAAACATAAAAAGCATAATGATGTCAACCATCACATGACCGCAATTAATCACTACCGAGAGTGCAGACATCTATTCCGATTTCTTCGTATACCCGTTTTCACGACCGTTTTGGTGCCCATTCTGCACCGGGCCATTCTGTTCATTGTGCGCATTTTGGTATCCGTTCTTGATTGCCTTCGGTTTGTGATCTTTTGAAACTGCAGTAACAAACCCCCAAAACCACGTGACCTGCATTAACGTCACACAGAACATGACAAGATGACAGCCAAAATACATCGAGGTCGCGACCTCCAACAAAGTCAGATATGAGTAGGCATAGATGAGGTACAAGTTTGGGAAGAGCACAAGCCGCGTCAGAAAGAAAGTCGCTAAGGCAAGAACAGTGTTGACTTTGAACATCATCGAATCCGTGCTGCAATGCTGTAAAAGGAATATAAAGACATATCATTATTGATAAGTGTAAGGAAATAAAAACTGAATTGAATGAATACTAACTTCAAGTTGGATGGGTATACTGTAGCGCAGAAGTTCTAACCCGATTCTAGGTGAAGTGGGTTTTCTCTGCAGTCTAGTCTTTCACTCAAGTGAGAATGCGACGGCAACTAGCACGGTCTTTAGAGGAAACCTCACCCTAAACAATAAGTGTAGGTATTCTAAAAAAGAAATTAGATTTCCCCCCTGCCCTTTGATGTACAATATTCCTTACGAAAATGTACAAGATATCATATATGAAGATATATTCTTGGCATGATTGTGATGCCTTTAAGCATGAGGGTGCAGCCATTTTTTGAAAAATGTGACGTATACCGGTTGAAGTTGTATTGTATCATGCACCAAGCTTTAGCTGGAAAGAATTTTATAATAAAATCTTTACTTTTCGATGAGGAAAAATCATAGCTGAAAAATTAGAAATTATATTTGGTGAAAAACATATAACAGAGGAACAAATATATTGTTATCATTCAAAATACTAAAATATAGCAGTTCACAAATCTATTTCATTTATGAGAAACCTTCACCCCAGGAGAGCACCAACTTATTCATGCAACTTAACTTCTCGTAATTGTAGTACAAAGGATAATAGTATTGTGAATGAAATGCTTCATCACCACACACACCTAGGAAGGAAGCATCCATACATTTGAATACCGTTTACTTGATAAACGATTTCACATCGTACGTCATGTTATCAAGA